GTGTCACCTGGAGAGGGCAGGAGGGCCAAGGGCCTGGGAGGCTGCCCCTGCCCTGGCCCCTCCCTGCACTCTCTGCCTGCACAGTCAACAGAGTGTGTTGGCTCCAGGCAGAGGGCGAAGGGCAGCCTCAGCTCCTTTATAAGGGAAGGGCCCAGGCAGTCCAGTGCCCAGGGTGTAACAAGACTGTCCTCCCTGGCCCCAGGTCCTAGAGTGGCCAGGAGAGCGGGGTGTGCCAGAGGAGCTCGAGGACAGCACGGCAGCCATGGGGCTGCTCACTGGGGATGCACTGTGGGCCCTGAGTGTGGCCGTGGCCGTCTTCCTGCTCCTGGTAGACCTGATGCACCGGCGCCAACTCTGGGCTGCACGCTACCCGCCAGGCCCCCTGCCACTGCCTGGGCTGGGCAACCTGCTGCAGATTGACTTCCAGAACATGCCCAGCTCCTTACAAAAGGTAAAAGAGCCAGGTTTGGTGGGGCACACCTGTGATCCCAGCATCTCAGGTAGCTGAGGCAGGAGGATTGCAAGTTCCAGGTAGACTCAACTATCGCCAACTATCCTAAGCTGGCGACCTAATGCTGGGATCACAAAAATCTGACTATTCCAATAACTTAAGAAAACTGCAAAGAAAGCACACAAACACAGAGAAGCCTTAAAGGGGTGCATTTCCAGAGTGACTCCCCACACTCAGCAACTTAGTGAGACCTTATCTCAAAATAAAAAAAAATAAAACGGGCTGGGAATGTAACTCAGTGGTTAAGTGCCCTTGGGTTTAGTCCCTTGTACCCAATCCAATGCGCACAAAAAGGTAAAAGAGTTTATGGTGGTCACTGTGGAGGCTCTGGTGTCCCTCCAGCAACAGAGATGGGTGGGTGGAGGGTGAAGCCACAGGTGGACCCGGAGCTGTGCCCTAAAAGGAAGCAGGTCTGAGAGGCGTCCTAGAAGAGGGCATGGCAGAGCCCGAGGACACTTTCAACTTTCCAAGAAAAAAAGTGTGGGAGGACAAACACCAGGGGGTGGGACTGGACTTGGCAGTGGGTTTGGGATCCAGGTGGACAGGTATAAATTGTGTAGGTCCCAGTCCCTTGTGATTCCATCAGAGGGAAAGGTCTTGGGGATGGGGGAGGAGCCAGGGTCCTGAGAGCCCGTCAGTCAGGAACTGGAGGTGGACACAGGTGGACAGAGACCACTTCAACTTTTCTGTGCTGGGGACTTGCGCCTCACTGCTCCCCTCTGTGACCCTGTCTCCTGCTCTGTACAGTGGGCCACTAGTGGTCACCACTGACAATATCCTGATTGGCAAAGTCCTTGTTGCTGCGTCCAGAAAGTTGGATCCGAACTGAGTTAGTCCACTTTACAGGGTGTGACTCCCAGCCTCATGTTCCCACATGTCAATACCTTGTCTCTTCCCGGAGTTGGCACACTGCAGAGTCCCTGGGTCTTTTGTGGTGAGTCAAAGGTCTGCAGCCCAGCAGAGAGTTCAGCTGGACAAATACGTGGCCCTTTTGCCTACAGATGCGGTTCCGTTTTGGTGACGTGTTCAGCCTGCAGCTGGCCTGGAAGCCTGTCATTGTGCTCAATGGGCTGGCCGCTGTGCGGGAGGC